TCCAGTTTGAAGGAGAAGGGATTTATGCAGCAATTTAAGAGATTGATTTTTCCAGTAGCTGGGTTTATGCGAGGGCAGGAGAGAAATCTTCTAATTTTTCAGCACCAGGCTCAGGAGAAAGAGGTTTTGACTCGCGTCATAAAGACTTGTATGCTTATTAGAGTCATTATCAATGGGAGATGATGCTGAACACTTGAATATGAGAGTTACTGAATTATAATTGATTTTATTTACATTTTCTATTTGATGTAACTGATGCATCTCAGATAAGTTTGCCTCTTGATGTAATCTTAACTCATGTTTATTGAATGAACAAAGTTTTTTCATTGATTTTTTTTTTAAAAAAATGGAAAGAAGAAGAAAGGAAACACGCTTACATGACAAATTATAGCCTCTACATTTCACATATCAGTATAATATCTTACATTGTTAGCACCTCAATCAGATGACACATTTCTCTATAAGAAGCAATACACTTAAATATACACTTATACGGTTATCCATGAACAAAACATTCCTGTAAAAACTCTCTCAAAACACAAAAAGAAACTCATCACCAACAATCTCCACAAATACACTCTCCTCCTTCAAACCTGTGAAACCCAGACCCATCTCTAACCAAAATTCTCCTCCCTGTCACGGAAGAAACAACCTTAAAAAATTCATGGCAATCTCCACACAATCTAACATTCTTCATGACCCTAACTACTTCCCCTGGCCTCGCCACAAGAACTCCATAGGCGACTGCGAGCTTCGCACTGTGATAGAACAGGAAATGCCTCTTCTGATACTCCTCCGCTTCTTGTAGTACAAAACTAGTATCTGGTTCATACCCAGCCTTCATACATTCTAATATCAAAACCTCGAGTCCACTGTAAATGTCTTTGGACTGAGAGTGTGATTTATCTCTCCCATAGAATGAATGCACTGTGTTTTGATGAATTATCCAGCTTTTTGCTGGGATCTTCTTTAAACCGTTCAGTCTCATTTCCTGTCTTAGTTTATTGGAGCAATGCCATCGACCAGAGGCTGAGTAAAGATTTGATATCAGGGTATATGAGGATGGATCTTTCGGTTCTAGCGTGAGAAGCTTTTGAATTGCTTGCCTCCCAAGACTAATATTTGAGTGTTTCTTGCAATTCTCGAGCAATGCTCTCCAAATTGATGCATCGGGCTTGAAGGGCATTGATATTATAAGATTCTTAGCCTCATCAAAATGACCCCAACAGCTTAAGACGTCGACCATAGCAGAATAATGCTCTAAAGATGGTTTGATGTTATAAGAGCTCAACATTGAGAGGAACAAATTTTGACAGGTAGATACCGAGTTTGATGTTGTGAACTTGCAAGCTGATATGATCAGAAGAAAAGTGATGTGATCGGGTTTCTGACCCAATAACTCCATTTTCGACCATGCATTAAGAGCTTCATCTCCCTTTCGATAATTAAGATAGGAATTGATTAATCCATTCCATGAAACCAAATCATGTCGATGCATTTGATTGAAGAAATTAAGTGCATTCTCCAAGTTGCCACATTTGGAGTACATGCTCACAATGGCATTGCCTACTCCAATATCACCAACAACATTGGATTTATAAGCAAAGCCATGGATTTGCTCTCCCATCACAGCAAACCCTAGAGAGCCACAAACTCCTAGGACAGTGGCCAATGTGACCTCGTCGATGACGTCCATAAGATCATCCCTCTTCAGTCCTGATTGGAAAAGGGACAGAGCCTCTTCAGGCTGTCCATTCCGAGCACGTGCACTAATCAGAGAAGTCCATGTGATCGGAAAACTCCCTTTCTGGATTTTCCGGTCATAGATTTTCTCTGCATCTTCTACTCTATCACATTTGGCGCACATATCCAATAAAGCTGCTTCAACCCAAGCATTTGATGTGAAACCCATTTTAATCACGAACCCATGAATCTGCTCACTCTTCTTCCTTTCTCCAACCATAGCACAAGTGTTGACCACGCTCGTAACTGTGAAATCTGATATCTTCGGTCCATCCTTCAAAATCTGCTGAAATAACCGCAAACCTCTCAAACCTTCACCATTTTTGCAGAATCCAGCTAGAAGAGCGTTATAAGATACAATGTTCCTCTTAGGCATTTTCTCAAAAATATCAACTGCCGATTCAATGAAACCAAACTCCATAAATCCATTAAGCATACCGGTCCAAGAGATCACATCTTTCTCCGGCATTCTATCAAACACACCAATAACCTTCTCTATATCGCTGAGCTGAGTGTATAACCTAATGAGCGCATTGCCAACGCTCAAATCAAAATCCAGCCCTAACTTAAGTGCATAAGCATGAACCGCTTCTCCTTCTTCCAACGAGAACCCTTGGCTCATCGCAGACAGAAGTGTCGATATCGAGAACCTATCCCCAAACTCCCCTTCCATTTTCATCTCCCTAAACAACTCAAAAGCTTCTCTATATCTACAATCCTTGACCATGGCAGAAATGACCGTATTCCACGATGACACATCTCGTTCATTCATTTTATCAAACACATCAAGCGCATCCTCAAAAAACCCACAGCTCACATACATTCCCATAACCGCATTGGCAACATAAACACAATCGCAACTCCCGGCCTTCACCGCAAGAGCATGAATCTGAGTACCCAACTCACAATTCGAGTTCCGAATACAGGCGGTGAGCAGAGCGACGAAGCAAAACCCATTCGGGAAAATACCCAGTTGCCGCATTTGATCGAAAAGCAAAACCGCATCAATTTCTCGGCCAATTTTGCTGTACGCGGATATGAGGGAAGCGAAGCTTGCGATATCTGGGGACGGCATTTCGTCGAACGCGTTGCGGGCGTCGATGAGGCGATTGAATTTGAGGTACACCGAGATGAGGGAGTTGAGGAGGCGGGTGTGGTCATTGTAGTGCTGGGATTTGAGGATGATGGAGTGAATGGATTTGCCCAAGTTGAGGTTTTGGGTTTGGGTTGAGAGGCGGAGGAGATGGGTGAGATTGCGAGGGGGGATGGAGTGGGTTGGGTTGGGAGATGCAGAGGTTGAGGTTGAGAATTTGAGATGGGGTTTAGGGTTATGGTTTGGAGGGAGGAAGGGGATGATGATGGTGGAGGCCATTCATTTGGGTTGAGATTCTGGGCCTGGGCTTTTTTTTTTTTTTTTTGGAGGATGGGTTTTTTTGAAGGATAGGAATTTAGTGGAGGGAAAAGTAGGAAAGATAGATGTCTACAAGGTCAAGAATAGCTCATGGGCCCCTCCTGATTTGCATTAATTTCAGTGCATAATTTATTTCTCTCTATCTCTCTCCTCTCTTATAGAGTGTCCGTGGGCATTCTATAGAAAAACCGTATTAGCATATCTTGTTGACAATATTTAAGAAATTAGTATTTTTATTTATTTATTTATTTATTTGCTTCGGTGACTGTACGACATGTTTTATAGACCACAGTAACAGATATCATTATTTTTTTGACCGGCTTCCTCCTGAGGTTAATTTGGTTAGGGCACATGAAATTGAAGATGAAACACCTAAAATTTCAGTTGCCCTAACTGAATTAATCATAGGAGGAAGAAGAACACCTCCCACTTGGACCTTAATCTTTTTCTAGAGCCATAATCTGAGTAACCCCCCCCCCCCCCCAATTTCATTTTAATTTTAACGATTCCAACTATCATCCACGTTGGCAACTATGTTGGGCTCACGTGACACCTCATGTCACCCTATTTGATCAGAATTTTGACTTGTGCCAAAAAATAAGGGTATTTATCACGCGGTCCACAAAATATACTATATTGTTACCGGAGTGAGAAAACATACCAATATGTCACACATGGTGGACAAAATATTCTAATATGGTAACTTTTCCCTTTGTGTCATAATTTTATTGGGATAAAAAGTTCACACCAAGTTAATATTTCTGGTTTATACAAATACTGATCTAGAGATGAATGGTCTACAATGATTCCAAATTTCTATCATTTTGAGCAGATTGAATTATAGACATAATTTCAAACCACGGGATCTTTGATCGTATGTGGTTTTATGATTTTATGACTTTCAATAACAATAGGCGGTTTGGATTTATGATAGAGATATGTACAAAAACATGTTTACAGGTGTGTATATCACGTGCATTGTAAGGGGTTGTTTGGTTGTTGTTGGTAAAGTTGTGTATTTATGACACAACTTGGAAATTTGTTGTCCACCTCATCAATTTCACTGAGCAACTTTTCTTTGTTTGTTTTTTATTCCATTGGAATCATAAATTGTTTGTTTGGTTTGCAAAATGTAACTTTAAGAGGCTGTTTGGTTGTAAGTTTTTACTATGTAAAAGAATGAAAAGTGTAAAAAAATGGGTCCCAATGTCAGCTTTCCTCCTTTTCAATTGTTTGTTTGTAGTTGTGAAAATAGTGTAAAATAATTTACTATGTTGATGTGGCATGGATTCACAAATCCCTTCAAAATGGTCTGATTTTGATGGAAAGCTGACATATGTGTCAGAAGTGAGGGGACTAGGCCAATAGAATCATTTGAGTAGGGACCACACAATAACCATTTTTTACACTTTCCAAACAAGCAATTAAAGTTATATTTTACAAACCAAACAAACAATTTATGATTCCAATGGAATAAAAAACAAACAAAGAAAAATTGCTTAGTGAAATTAATGAGGTGGACAACAACTTTCCAAGTTGTGTCATAAATACACAACTTTACCAACAACAACCAAACAACCCTTAATTGCTTGTTTGGAAAGTGTAAAAAGTGGTTATTGTGTGGTTGTAATGATCGTAAATTTCTAATACTGGTTTAAATAATTTTTCTGGTGTTTAAATATTAAAATTTTATTTTTAAAAGAGTATTCGTATTTTTCTCGATTTTCTAGAAATTTTCTATGATTTAAAGTCTAAGTTTTATATTTATTTAAATGGTTTTGATATTTATAAATTAATTTAGTACAATGAAAATTTCTGGGATTTATCCGTTGTGTTACTGATACTATTACGTATTATTTTAAATAATACGTCATATTATTATTACTATTACGTATTAATTCTTGTATTATGTTGAATTATTAATTACGTATTATTTGTGTAAATTATTGTATTATTTTAATTATTACGTATCAGCTATCGTATTAGCACAACTGATACGTTTTATCGTGTATATAATTATCCCATAATTATTTGATTTTAAATATAAGTAAATATATTTTATTATTATTTATTCTCGTTTAATTATACAATATGTGTATATTTCGACTATTTCGTATCAACTGTTGTATTAGCACAACATGTATGTTTTTATTTGTAAATAATTATTTCGTAATTGGTTTAATTTTTTATACCCGTAACTATTTATTTAATTATTTTTGTTTAAATACCTGAAACTATTTGAAAATAATCCAAAATTATTTTGCTTCCCGCGTAAAACCCCCAACAGCTACCCCCTCATCACGTTGCGTCGACAGCCCTCCAAGCCCAGATCGAAGCAACGCCGTGCCGCTAGCAACGCCGGTAACCTCGACTCCTTCAGCCCTCACCTCGTCGCTGTTGTCCTTGCCTCACTGTCGACGTTGCTGACGATCTCTCTCGCTGACGGTAGCCCCCAACCGCTCCGACCGACGCTCAGATCAGACCCGCGTACCCGCGCCGTCGAAGTTGAATCGTTCGACGAGACCCCGAGGCAAGATCCCGATCCTTGTTTAGTTTCGTTCCAGTTCTTTTATTTGTCGTAGGTTATTTATGTGCAAGATCCCGATACTCCTTTGACTTATCATTCAATTCTTAGATCGCCCTGATTTAATTAGTTGCTTGCAAGATCCCTATTCTTGCTCAGTACAATTTTAGATTGATCACAGATCAATTATGCATAAGAACTCGTTTCCCAAATAATTATTCGTTACAAATATAGAACTGTCGTGAACATATTGGACTGAGAACTATAACGTATAGAACTGTTGTGAACGAAATGGACTGTGGACAATAACGTATGACCATTCACATTGTAATACATATACTGTGATGACCTATACGAATTTATTTGACGAATGATATTAAAAATAATTTTGCAATAATAGATACTGTAAAGATAAAATAAAATAAAATTATTTTAGTTTAATTTATAATTTTAAAGAATTTATTGACAAAATAATTAATTTAAAATAATTATTATTTTGGTGAAAAATCATTTTAGAGTAATTATAATAAATTAATAGAATTTATTTGACAAAAGAATTATTTTAGAATAATTATAAATAATTTTAAAAAAATTATTTTAGAATAAGTATCAATTTAGAATAATTTCAATAATTTAAGAAAGTTTTATAAAAGAAATTATTTTAGAACAATTATAAATATTTTTAAAAGATTTATTTTAGAAAAGGGATTATTATGAATTATTCATAATTTATGTTTCTTAATTTTAATTATATGATATGCTATGATATTGTTGTATATGATTAGCTGCATTTATTACTCTTTGTTATGTTTGAGAACCGTCAGAAATGCATGACTAGTGTGGCCTGGTGTATCCTGTTTAAGACTTAGAAACCTGTGTGTATGAAACTTAGAAAAACAAGAGAGTTGGGATGGGGAAGTTAATGTTCGTGTGATCGGATAAGACTGTTGATGTATCTTCCAGGCTCGCTCCCGTGGTTGGTGTCGCCACCGGGGTTGGTTTGTAGGGCTAAAGTGAAGTGTGTACATCACTTTAGTCAGTGAAATCGTTTCGTCACTCGGGTTCTGTTTGAAGTTCGGACCAGGCAGAAAACGGTTTACGTGTAGTCCTCTAGGCCGCATGTGTAGCGGGACTGGATGCACGTAGGGAATTTGTGAACAGTCAGTATCCGATGACAGAAGCGTTGACTCTGTGTGAGATGTGACCAGTGACTTGTTATAGAGTGGCTAGTTACATGATCTTGTTTCTTGGCTAGATATGATTTCTTGTGAGATACGGACCAGTTATATTTCTTTTCATACATAGATCGGGGTTAATATTTAATTATCTACAATTCGAGACATATGGTATATACATGAGGGTTTCCTTGTTTGGATTATTTCGCTCGACGTACTACTTCTCTTATTGTAGATTTTTAAGTATTAATTTCATCTAGTGTATGACTCTGTACTTGGATGATTATTCTGATCGCTAGCTGCATGACCTCGTTACCCGATTGATTTTGGATTATTCTGATAATTCTATTCTAGTAGTAAATTATATTTAGATTATTAGTATTTCAGTTGCATGTTTCTATTGTTGTTATCATTATTGCATTGGTCGCACGACCATTCTATTCTTCCTTTTAGGATCTTGCCGTGTGCCATACACGCTGACGTACACCTGTTTCCTCTGGTGTACGTTAGATTTAGATGATGGACAGCTTCAGTTCGGAGTCGTACAGGAGCTAGAGGATTCCCCGCAGGAGTGCTCTGCAGACAGAGCAGAAGAAGCCGAAGCTTAGTTATTGGTCCTCCATTTACTTTTGTAGCACCTTCCATTCTGTTGATCGATATATTTTATATTTTCTAGCATTTCTTTCAGATAGTCTTGTATAAGGGCATGTTGATCCAAATATTATGCCTGGGATGATATTCAGTTGTGATATGTATATTTTTATTCTGAGTTGTTTATTATATTCTCGCTACTGTGATCGGGGACCTGTGCCTTTGCTTTATATTTGCTTGACGCTTAAGTTGTTTATTATATTCTCGCTACTGTGATCGGGGACCTGTGCCTTTGCTTTATATTTGCTTGACGCTTAGCGTATTAGATTGAGCAGAAGGGGTCTAGTCGGGGACCTGTGCCTTTGCTTTATATTTGCTTGACGCTTAGCGTATTAGATTGAGCAGAAGGGGTCTAGTACTTATTTCTTCTCAGTCTACTACTGATAGGCAAAATCTGCAAGCACACAGACTCGTTGTAGCTATCAAGGTTGATCCCACAGGGACTAGGGTTAATTACCAAATTTCACGTTATTAGACTAGCTAAACTAATGAGTAAATTAGAAGAGATAAAAATTAAAAGAAATAAAATAATAACTAATCAGGTGGAAATTCAATATAATGAAGAGCCAGGATTGGGTTATCACCACAAACTTTGATGCTCAATGATGAATTATTTCAGTTCTCGGTGTTGGTTTAAACTAAAAAG